GGAGGAAGGACCCAGGGGAGTGGTGGTGGTGGGCAGAGGGCCAGATCACTGGAGACCTGTGGGCTGGGGTGGAGCCGACCGGAGTGCTGGGCAACAGGCATGAGTACCGCACACACTGAAGATAAAGAAACAGAGTCGGGGTGGGGCATCACTGTGCCAGGACCTTGCCTGGCTCAGGCAAGGCCCTGGGTTTGATACCTGGCACCAAACCAAACCAAACCAAAAAAGACAGAGAAAGAGGGTGAGCCAGGTTCTGCGTCTGCAAGGAGTAGGGGGCTCATGACCAGGACGACCCAGGTGACCTGAAACCAAGCACAGGGGACCAAGGAGATGTTAACGGGGTCACAGCCTCTCTTGCAGGCTGCACTCCGAGCTGAGGGAAGCAGCTTCTTCTTTTCTCCCCAGGGAGGTGTGTAGCTGAGGCCAAGGGCTCTCAAAGTCATTGGCATTTCCGTGCCTACTTCCAATTCTCTCGAATTTGAATACTAGTAGAAGAGGTTTTATGAGCCCAGGAGCTGATAGCAGAGGTGAGTCAGGACTGGCTGTCCCCAAGCAGCTCACAGGGTAAGGTACAGGTGGCAGGAGAGGGGCAGGTGCCTGGCTTTCAGGCCCAGATATTTTTCTATTAAAGTTGACTGGCTGAAGCCACCTCTTGGCTTCTCCCCTCTTCCTGGTAGTCCTGGGGCGACTCAAAGTCTTTGCCTCCCAGCTGGGGCCTTGAGACCAATGACCTGTAGTGCCAGCACTCTGGGAGTCTGAGACAGGAGGATTGAAATTTCGATCCCTGCCCTGGAGGCCTGGCAAGCTTGACCCTGACTCAAAACAATTGAACAACAGCAAAAAAAAAACAATTCAAGTGAAAGCCCTGGGTTGAATACTAATGACTGTAAAACAAACAGAAACAAGTGATTCTCGACCTTGGCTTGTCTTAAAAAATATCGATGATGCCCGAGTCCCATCCCCAGAGATTCTGATTTAATTGGTCTAGGATGTGACCTGGGTTTGGGGTTTTTAAATGCTTCCTGTATGACTATAATGTGCAGCCTTTGGTCAGAAGCATTGCTCCAAGGAATGCCTGGGGCTCTGATCCAACCCGAGGAGGAGAGGAGTGGATTTGACCTTGGCCTTGAAGGCGGGGAAATTTTGACCAAGTAGAGGTGGGGTGGGGTGCATCATAAACAGTGGCCAGGAGCTGGTCTGACACTCAGGAGTCGAAAAATATTTAGGTTTATTATTATTATTATTGTTATTATTTATTATTTTGAGACAGGGCCTCACTGTGTAGTTCAAGTTGGCCCTGAACTCCCTATGTGTAAAACCTGACTGAACTAAAGGGAGTCCACGTTGGGTGAGTAGTGGCCCCAGAGGCCTGGTGTACCACTCCCCTTTGTAGTTGTACCCCTATCTTTGCTTGGGAATGTAGGACTGCATAACTTTGTAATCTAAATCCTAGTCTCCACTGTGATTAATGTGAATTAACAGGTGAACATTTAGTAGTTCTGGGTAAATAGATAAAGATCGTTTCACTCTTTGTCTGCCCAAAAGGAATGTTTTGAAAACCTTGGGACCTTCTGTAAGCATCTTGAGTAGACCCCCACCCTGCCTATCCCCTTATACAAAGGACCTCCGCCCCTGAGCTGGAGCCTCTCTGAGCTGCTTGGCTTCCGGAGTGCCGTCTGGCCAGACTAGTAAAGGTCTGTTCTCTTTCCAATGTGTCCGGTGTGTTCCTTCCCGGGCGAATCTCGAGACTGTCAAGCTCTTCGGAGTGATAGTAAGGCCATTGGTCTTACATTTTGGAAGCCCTCGGTGGTTCTTGAGCTCCTTGGAGGGGTAGTGAGGCCTTAGGTCTTACATATGTAGCCCATGCTGGCCTTGAACTTGTGGTGATCCTCCTGCCTCAGCCTCCCCAGGCATGTACCACCATGCCCAGAGACAATGTGGTTTATAAGAGGCAGAGATTGAGCAAGGATCTGGAGACAGCTGGATAAATATCTAGAAATGGAAATCATAAGTAAATTAGACTGAACCGAGAAGATTGGATGATTTCAGACTTTTCAAATTATGGAAGAAGCTTAAAGCCAGAATGAAATTTTGCTTGTGAGGGGGGGCGGGTGCTGGTGACTGAACCCAGGGCCTCATGCATGCTAGCACTGTATGGCTGAGCTACACCCCCAGCCCCGTACTGACATTTTGTAAATAACTGAATAGCAGTAAGTAATATGGAAGCCTGTTTCTGTTTTTGGATGCTATCTGGCCATCTGCCTGAGCTACAGCAGCCCTCCTACCTCAGCCTTCCAGGTAGCTGGAACTGTATGTAGGTGCACCGCAGCTCCCAGCTTTCTCAAGAGTTTGTGAGCAGCAGGATTACATAAGAAACACATCTAGGGAGGATAATCTGACAGCAGCACAGAGGGCCCCGGGAGGAGGGACAGAAGGAAGGAAGGGACTGGGGGAGGCGCTGTAGTAACCCCAGGTGAGCCGATGTTTCTGGCAAGGGCCAGAGAGAAGTTACAGACTGGAAAGACCCTGTGGACCCTGACTGAGCAAAATCCAAGCAATTGGAAGACAAGGCAGCAAGCTCTCAGAGAAGGAAGGGTGACTGGGAAGAGGCCACTTAGGAAGACGGGAAGCAGGGTTTTGGTGGCGTTTTACCCACTCTGTGTGAACCATCTGCGCTCAGACACGTGGCTGGGTTCCACAGGCGCTGGAAGACTGTATTTGGTTAGCACTGATGGTCAGGGGCTGGGGTGTAGCTCAGCTACAGGGCGCGTGCTTAGAATGCTTGGCATACTTATCAATACTGAATAACACGACAGCTTTGTCCGGGTGGATGAGTTTTCAAGGGAAAATCTCAGAAGGAAAAAAAAAAAAATCCAGAGATAGACACTTAGGAAGAGGGGAGGGAAAGCAAGGAGGAGACCCAGAGGATGGCGGTTAGAGGTGTATGTATGGGGGGAGATAACAGCCCCTGAGCCCTGGGTGGGGAAATTCAGGGTCAAGAGAGGCATGAGTGCCAGGCTTGGTGGTGCATACTCGTAATCTTAGCACTCCAGAGGCTCAGGCAGGGGGATCAGAGCAAGTTTAAGGCTAGCCTGGACTATTGAACTGAAGGCCAGGCTGAACCACACAGCAAGACCCTGTCTCAAAATGAGCAGTTTCAGTAGGTGAGGGAGTGGAAGCATATTTCAAGGAATTAAGAAATAGTGATCTGGCCGGGGATTTAGCTCAGTGGTTCTACTGCCTGCCTCAAAAGTGCAAGGTCCCAAGTTTGATCCCCGGCACAAAAAAAAGGAAAAGTCTCACATGTCTGATAGCAGCGTCCCCCCTTGTACTACTGGTGACAACCTAGGGTTACTTTACCACCGAGCTATATCCCCAGCCCTTTAAATTTTTTTCTGAGAGAGGGTCTTCCTCAATTGTCCAGGTGGGACTCAAACTTTGGATCCTCCTGCCTCAGCCTCCTCCCAATGCTGGGATTACTGGCACGTGTCACTGTGCCCCTCTAAAGGGCTTGGACTTGGATGAAGAAGGCTGCAACTGGAAATTATTTTTCTCAAGAAGTTTGGTGAGGAAGGCACAGTAAGCCTGACCACCCCCAGGAGAGCCCACCGCCCCACTCCCCACGTCCTATGTGAGCGTGCCGCTTTCCTTCTGATCAGGAACACCACGAGGCCAGGTCATGGCTGCTGTCTGGGCAGGCCTCTCACCAGCCTCCTGTGTGGTGTCTGGATGCTGTATGAATGCACACAAGCAGGGTAGGGCCAGGTCTTGCAAGTGGACAATGGACGACGCTAAGCCCATTGCTGTGCCACCCCTGTCCACCCCCCCGGCACATGGAGGCCTCAGGATTAGCTCAGCATAGCGGGCAATTAGCCCTGCGAGGGCCCGCAGGCAGGAACGACCATGGGCAGCTGGTGCCCTTTCCCTGTAGTCGCCCTGACCTAGACCAACTTCTGCACTGTGGTCTGCCACCTTCCTTTGCCTTCCTGGCAATTCCAGGGATAGATTTCTGGGTCTCCCTGTGAATCTCTCTCCAATGCCCTAAGCCCAGTCTAGTACAGAGAGGGAAAAGGGGCCTCTGGGGAAAGAAAACCCCACTGAGTGGTACCCAAGGTCCCTTGTCTCCCTGGGGGTCAGGAATACATCTTCTCCCTTTTTTGTCTCTGTTGGTGCTCTTTTTCCCCCCTGGAAGAAGACATGAAGAGAAGTGAAGAGGGGAACCAGTAAGGCAGGGTCTTCGTGGACCCGCAGTCTTTGGAAATGCGGTGATAAATCCACTAAGTCTCTTTAATGTGTCTTTCGGAAGTTCACACACACACACACAGAGACCAGAACAAGGTGGGGAGCAGAGACGGGGAGACGATCATCCTGGCTTCCCTTCTGCCCAGCTGCCCAGGGGTGGGGCGGTGGAAGGGGTATTTACAGAGTAGGGGACGCGTTTCTTATCAGGGTGCCCGGTCCTAAAGTGAGACCTTCCAAATTTCCTTTCAAAAACAACAAAAAGAGAGGTTCTGGAATTAGCAAGAAAATAGGCAGAGACCGGGGTGGAGTAGGGCGAAATGGCACTAGCAAAAAAGGGTGTGAGTGTGGGGCGCGGCTCCCCCGGGGTTAGGCTTGGCCCAGTCGCCTGGACGAGGGGACCGGACTGGGTTCGCTGTCCGCTCCCAGGGCCGCAAACCCCACCACCCGCGGGACTCACCCAGCAGGCGAGAAGAGGGCGGAGCCTGCCGACTCGGAGGCGGGGTTTAGCCCGACTTGGGCGGAGCTATGGATGAGGCGGGGCTTCGGGACCAGAGTACTGGCAGAAAGCCTAGACCCAAGGACCTGGGCTGGGAGCGAAGCGTTTAGGGAGGGCTTGGAACTGGGGTGCCCGAGGGCCCGGCGGGTGGCGGGGACCCCGGGAGGCGGCGTCTCTGGGGGTCTGGGTTTTGCAGGGGTTCCTGAGGAGCCGGCTTGGAGCGTGCTCGCCAGGCGAGAGGCTCCGTGGAGGCGGAGTTGAGGATGCGAGGAAGTCCCGCGGCGCGACCGCAGAGCGCTCCCGGGAGGTCGCCGGGCACAGAGAGGGCCGGGCCGGGGCGTCTTCAGGGGTCCCAGTAGTTCTCGTGGTGCTGCGCGGCGATGATGATGACGACGGTGAGGATGGTACAGAGCACCATGGCTGCGATGCCCACGGCCAGGGAGATGAAGGAGAAGTTCCGGGCCTCGCGCGACGCGATCTCGGCGGACACCATATCCCCGCGGGCCAGGGCCGTGCGCACCTGCGGCGGGGTGGGAAGGGTCAGA